ATGGACGTAAGACATTTCACATAGGCCTTAAACCAATTTAGATAAGTTTGGCATCTTTTTGGTATTATTATTCAGTATATAGCTTTAGTTTTTGTTTGTAACACTTTGTATGTAACGCAAACATCAACAACCGGTCATAGTAAAAGTTAACTCTAATATATTTAAAACAACATTTATAAGAGAAACATTTCTCGTTTCCTAGAGTGGCTAGTTGGAAATCACGCTCCTTTTTCTATAACATATCATAGATTATTTTTTAGTTTAGATAGGCAGCCAGATAACGTCAGCCAGATAACGTCTTTCTCTATTTGATCAGTTAAACACTTTAGTTAAAAAAAATTTCAATGTGTTTTCTTAGTTTAAAATGTATACTTTCAAATATTGCATTTCCAGACTAACCTTTTCCCCTTCTTTTTTTGGAGTTTTATGATATGACAGTGTTTCCAGTTATTTTTGAGAAGTTGTGCATCTCAATGAATAAAATACGCACCCTATTTAGTTGAGTGAAGTTAAAGGCCACCAGCGTCTGAATGTAAAGCAATGTGGAAAATTTAAAATATTCTCCGTAAAACTCCTTTGGCAATTATAGCGGCATGTAAAAATAAAAACAAAATATAATAGTAAATGCAGTATTTTTTTTCAAGTTATTTAGGTGCTCTAAGAAGACCTCACGGTCTTATAATAGAACATCGTGGAATAGCATTTAAACAGTAAGTTCACATCTCCTTCCTTACCAATGTTGAATATATGGCCAGAGTCGACTTCAAACGACGAGCCTTAAGTTCTGAAACCAGAACTCTACAGCACGGCTTCTATCACACGCCAAGATTCTATGTATATTAAATTTTTTACAATCTCAAATGTTAGACATATTGAATTAGGTTAGGTTAGGTTAGGTTGAACCAAGCTAAGAACGAGGCCAACAAATTTCTATTTTATTTTTATCATTTAAAAAAATATTTATTTTTTTTTTCATTTTTTTTTTCTTCTAATACAACTATTTTACAAAGATATAGAAAAACAATAATTGAAATAACAAATAAATAACATATTCGAAAATTAAAACCAAGAGGTTTTGTCACTGAGAACCGCTAAAATTAAACGCGTTTAATCGATTTTTTTTTTTAATTTACGTAGTTTATAAAAGAATTTAAATTAAAATAAGAAATGAGTCAATATACAAAAATCAATATGGCTTACATCAAGATTGCATTAAGAAGATTTTTTAAGAACTCGGTTTCCGTGAATTTTATTTTGTAGGGTTTTTTGAGAGGTTGATTCCTGTGAAAATGACGCATAAATTTTCAAAGTAGTAAAAACGTTCATGTAAAAATATGCGTTCATGTAAAAATGACGCATAGTTTTTAATGTAGTAAAATAAATAAATCTTATTTGTAAAAAACTAATATTACTTATCAAAATCGATGGTCAAAAAATTTCTACTTAATAAGTTGTTTTTACTTTTCAATATTGCAATCCGGTGTTTCATAACATCACTTTATATATGCTGTAAAATTCTTTTGGAAATACATTATTAGAAAGCCTGCTATGGTCTTTTTATAAACATGGTCATTATAAATTTATATATATATATAAATAGATAAATATATATTTATATATATAAATAGATATATATATATATATATATATATATATATATATATATGCATATATATATATATATATGCATATATATATATATATATATATATATATATATATATATATATATATATATATATATATATATATGCATATATATATATATATATATATATGCATATATATATATATATATATATATATATGCATATATATATATATATATATATATATATATATATATATATATATATATATATATATATATATATATATATATATATATATATATATATATATATATATATATATATATATATATATATATATATATATTGATACTGGTCTTATCATTCTGTCTTATAGCAACAGCGCTATAACTGTAACGCGTGGTATTATGAAGTAGGTATGGAATTTGACGTCGAGAATAATGTTCATATACCCGTTTTGTGAAGATTTCTTTTAAAGATGAGAACACAAATGTCTTGAATTTTTGTTGATGTTGTAAAAAGGAATTCATATCATTTATTTTATTTTAGAATCTCAAATTATTTTCCTTTTTATCTTTTATTTTCCTTTTATTTTGTTTGATATTTATTACTCAAAATGAGAACAAAATATTTCAAGTATGCTATAAAAATGATAAATTTCATTTACTACTCATACGAGTCAAGCATAAATTTGATAAAACAAATTGTTTATTTACATGCAAAATTAAATAATCTTTAAAAATATTGAAGCATATTTATAAACCCGACGGGCATTTGTTTTTAAAAGTTACGTTCTAAATGTGTTTTAAATGTCTTTTTCTACGTTCTAAATGTGTTTTAAACGTCTTTTAAACATTAATGTTTAAAAGACGTTTAAAAGACATTTAAAATACATTTAGATCGTAACTTTTAAAAAAAAATGCCCGTCGGGAAGCTATAGTATATTTAAAATGCATAATATTTTATGCTGCAGAAGATTTAAAGTCTGTGGGCATCCTCAACCAACTTAAAATTTTTATAAATAAGATTATTTCGCTCCGAGTGATTTTTTTACTACAAGAAAGCATGACAAAAATTAGAAAACAAAAAAAAGTGTATAAACGCAAATATTAGAAAACACAAAAACACTAAAATCATTTCTTATAAGAAACTTTATCGTGCAGCATGAATTAGCAGAACAGCAGCAATGAGCCAGCAGAACTAAAGTTTTATTGAAAAATTTGATAGTTTTTAAGGAAATAACAGTTTCCTTCTTGCCCTTTAGTTTTTGTAAAAACCTATGAAGCAAATAAAATGCAAGCATGAAAAGAATTTTTTAAGAAAATGTGCAAAATAAATTTATAAAATTTATCTAGACCTAAACAAAAAACATGTTTCTTATTGCTTTAGAAATAATGGTTAAATTACCAGGATATTTTGAATGAAAGGTTTACTTGGATAAATAACATTGCATATGCTTCTAAAACTGTTAATGGAAATTTTCTATTAACTCAAACTGTTAATGGAAATTTTCTATTAACTCAATCTGGACGGCTAAACTGACGCTCTATTCAAAATTATACACAAAGAATAAAAAACTGCATACTGCACTTTTGCACTAATGCACAACTGCATACTGTCTAGTTAATATATTCTAAAACAATCATTTAACTTAAACTAATTATCATTTTTTAAATGGGGCAAGGATTCGAGAGCTTGTATCTTTTTTTTCAAATTGCGTATATTTTCATATATTTGCATACATGTATGTGATACATAAATATTTCGAATCTGTTAATTTAGAATGAAAAAAGGATGTAAATAGTTATTAACTGGAAAAAAAAATTAGTTTTAAGGAAGTTGATAAGTTTAATTTTACAAAAATTTCAAAACTGATGAATAATTTGGTAATATAACTGATGGTAGAATCCTTACAAAATCAAAAACAGTTAATGGTTTCCATGGTACTGAGATTTTTACACTAAATATTCAAAATATTCATCTTGAGCGGTGAATCGGAGTAGATGATGACTCTAAATCAGCTTTCAAATCATCTGCACAAGTAATTTTTGATTGTTTTAGAATTTTAACTTTTTAAAACACAGCTTTCAGCAACAAGCATTCAACACTAAAAAATCATCAGTAATAAACTACAAGTTCCTTCTTAATGTACGTACTTAAGGTATGTACTTAAGACTCTCAGTATAAAATAGTTCATTTTATTATTAAATACTCATGTTGATTTTTTTTACATTGAATCTTCTAAGAAGCCAGTTGATACATTAAATGGCAGTTATTCTTTATCACATTTTAAAAATAAAAAAGTATATAAATCAATATTTTAAATATATGTTATAGAAACATATAAAAGAATATATAAAGAATACTCGAGCAACCAAGACACAAGGGTTATAGTGTAGGTTTCAGAATCAAGATGTCCGAGGCTTAATGTCTACTCTCGTCCTTAATATTCAGAAAATAAAAACGAGCTGTTACATAATTTTATTGTAATTAGGGAACCTTTATGGGTGAGAAAGTTTTGGAAATGTATGAAAAAAGAGAACAAAAAAAAATTTTTAAAAGATTAAGGAGGCAGGATAAACTATAAGTTATAAGTTTAACTATTATCACATAACATGTTAGATCAAAATACTGAAAATCAATTTTTTAAAAAACGTAAATAAAACGTAGATAAAATGAAAAAAAAATACGTGATAAAAAAAAAATCACTTAAATGCCGCTAAAAAGTTAGCTATTCGCTAGCTCATTTTCCGCCCGGTCACGTCGAACTGAGACTAAACTCATTGATTAATAGAAAAATAATGATAATAATAAACTCCATATCATACTTGTACGCTTAGCGGAAGTATAAAGTTTTACTGTTACAAACAAACAACCTACATGAAATTTTGTTAAATAAAAAAAAAGATTTATATATAGAATTATAACAATATATACTTTATATATAGAATTATAGCAAGAAAAAATAACGGACATTAAATGAAGGAAAACCTTTTCTATAAAATTTATTTTAATGATTGATTTTATGCGGGATTAAATAAAAAAAAATTTTCTTAACAAGAATAAAGTAAAAAGTTATAATTAAATTATAGTTTTAGAAAAAAACATGTAAGCTTAATATTTTTAAAACTGTAAACATCTTGACTTTATTTCCTGTTTAACTTTGTTTTAAAAAAATGAAGTCACAACTGTAAAGACTAATGGCGTCAGATTGCATACCCACACTTTTCTTTCTAAAAGAAAATTTAAAAATAAATCCTTTTCAAATTAAAATTAACACTTGGTTCTTGATGTATGTCAAAAAGTCAATTTTTGGTCTCAAAATAGTCAATTATGAATGTTAAGAATTGGTAAGTAGTTTATCTATAAATATTAACCGAATTCTTGTATATGCGATTCTTATTTCAGATTAAGTATACTATAAGAGCGCACACGTAAAAAGAAAGAAAAATAAAAACGAAAAGAAGGAAATGAGCAGTGTATGGGAAAATCAATGTATGGAAATACTTTATCTCAACACTTGACCATTGAGATTTTTTTTCAGGTTATAGTTATCATGCAAATATTAGAAACACTTATTTTTTTTTGCAAAATACTTTAGTTTGATTTACAATAAAAGTTTATCGAGTAAAAGAAATTTAAAGTTAAACTTCTAACTATTATTATAACTGTAAATATTAATTTATTATTAATTTTATTTATTTCATTTTTATTGCAGTTAATATTGACAATAATTAGAAAAAAGTCTTCTTTTTATGTGTAAATCATGTTAGGATAATCTTTTTTCATTAGTGCTTGAAATGAAAATTAAAGAGAGTGTTAGCAATATTTCAAGAAAATTGACAGTATTTCCTTCATGGGGACTGGAATATGACAACCTGCTTGCCGAAGCGGTACAACGTAATGCAAAAGAAGCTGTTAAACTACTTCTTCATTTTACATCAAATTTATCTTCTAACAATTTTGCACCAAATAAAAGTTTGACAGCAGCAGCCCAAACTGGAAATTTGCAACTTATTGAGTTATTTACTGAATGTGGGTACACAATTGCTGATGGACACGATGTCGATTGTGAATGTGAGATATGCACAAATGATTGCATCAGTCAATCAAAGGAAAGAATAAAAAGATTACGTGCTCAAATAAACCCTGTTTGGATTTTTAAAACATCAACAAACCCACTTGTAACTGGGTTAAATTTATGGAAAACAACAAAGCAATTGGCAGTTACAGACGACAGCTTTGAAAAAGATTATACTGAACTGGCCACAATTATGAAACATTTTTGTCTAGATTTATTAGATGAAGTTAATAACAAATCTGAAGTAAACTGCATTATGAATTGCGGCAAAACAAAAGATTTATCAAAGTTAAGCTTCATAAATATGGCTATAGAGATGGATCACAAAGAGGTTTATTTATTAATGGTCCCATTTCTTTTTTTTATCAAATGCGTAGGATATATATATATATATATATATATATATATATATATATATTATATATATATATATATATATATACATATATAAATATATAGCATATATATAGCATATATATGAATGTGTGCGTGTGTGCGTGTGTGTGCGTACGTGTGTGTGTGTGTATTTTAAAAAATATTGTTTATTTTAACTTTAAAATTAAAAAAAAAAAAAAACGTTAATACCTTTTACCAAGTATTCACGATTTTTGATACGCACAAAATGAACCAGATAATGAGAAATCTTTTTTTGACTACAAATTATAAAATAAATAAACTTTTTCCAGATTTGACTTATGGTTACTTTATTATAGGCCCTGTGAAGGAATTTTTGGATGTTTAGGGTATGATAGTTTTTTAGGATTGTGTACACTTGAATAATGCATAATACGAATTACTAATTGTTTTTTAAAACCTTTTTTTACCGTCTTTTAGATTTTTGTTTTAAGATTTTTTTAAAAACATTTTGCATGAAAGTTACTATTTTATGTCATATTTTAAACAATAATCGAATAATAAAAAAAAAAAAATGAATTTAATTTTTCCAACACCTGACTTCTGGCAAGATTTAAAAGTTTATATAGATCTTATGCAATATTTACTTATGTAGTATTTACTTATCTTATTTAATATTTACTTATAAAACCATAAGTTCAGTTCAACAGCATTTCAAAAGAATTCTAAAGTATTGTTACTTTTATTAATTTGTTTTATTTTTTCCTAAGTTTTATACACTTTTTATTTTTATATAAATGTGTATGTTTCGGTTTTAAATAGGGCTCGGCGATAAGAATAAATATTCCCTTCGACTTGCTCCAGTCATTATTATTTTTATATATTTATATATGGCATATATTCTTATTGCAGTTTATTTAAGCGCAGATTTGGTGTGAATTGGGTATAATTCCTTTTCTTCATTAAAGATAAAACTAATTAAATAAATGTTAAAATTAAATTTATTGTTTTACATTTAAAAAGATTGTAGCTCATCCAGTTCCTCAACATTTGTTATCTTCAATGGTTTACGATGGAATTTGGATGTGGAAAAAAAGTGGTTTTATATATAAAATGTTGGTGGTGCTCTCCATAGCAATTTCATTTTCCATCACTTCTATAGCTTACATAATATATCCAAAATCAAAATTGGGCAAGCTGTTAGAAAATCCATTTGTTAAATTTATTAACACTACTGCTTCGTTTATTGTGTTTTTAGGTAAGAGATTTTTTAGCAAACTTTGTTAACTTTTGTATTAAATAAAAAAAGTTTATTTTAAGTAACAGAATAACGGGATAATTTTAAATATTTGCATTATTTAGCGTATACGCTAAATAATGCAAATATTTAAAATTATCCCGTTAAAATTATGTTACGCGTAACAATTATTTTATTTATTTAATAAATTAAATATTAAGTTATAAAATAATATAAAGTAGCCGTATAGTATTAAAGAAAAACAGAATTTATACTTGGTAACTTTTATTTTTTACAGGGCTTTTAGCAGTATTATCAATGTCACAAAAATCGGGAATTAGATTAGGAGCAAGACCTGACACACATCAAATTCTAATTTTGTTATGGACATTAGGGTTCTCGCTACAAGAGATCAAACACGTGGGTGTCTAATACATAAACATTTTGCTTTTTACTATTCTAATATATTAATTTGCTTGTTTTATAATTATATTCATCTATTACTAATTTTGGTTAATTTTCCATTTTTATTTATAGATGATATATTTGGGGAAACGTAGGTATTTCGAAAGCGTTTGGAACTGGATTGATATGAGCATGATGTCATTAATCATAGCAGCCTATATTGTGTGGGGAAGTGCTCACTTGACGCCGTTTTCAAAAAACATATATATTAGTATTGGGGACAGCTTCTTTGCTATTTCCATTGTGTTGAGCTTTTTCCATGTTGTTTACCTATGTCAAGTTATAAGATTTTTGGGGTTGCTTCAGCTATGTCTTGGAAGAATGATAAAGGTAAACGTAGAAGTGTAATTAAAATTATAATTAAAATAATATACTCTTGATTTAGTTATACATATATATATATATATATATATATATATATATATATATATATATATATATATATATATATATATTTACGTATAGTATATATTTCTAATATAATCTATACGTAAATAACCTATACGTATATATATATATATATGTAAATAATATATACGTATATATATATACATATATATATATATATATATATATATCTATATATATATATATATATATATATATATATATATATACATATATATATATATATATATATATATATATATATATATATATATATATATATATATATATATATATATATATATATATATATATATATATATTTACGTATAGGTTATATTCCAGTTTGCATTCATAAGTTGCGTGGTTTTATGGTCTTTCTCCGTGAGTATGGTTTTTTTATTTCATTCAGTAAATCGACCATTGGTGAATGACACAGTTCCAATTAAGTCTGGAAGCAATAGTACTAACTTAGCAAATATTGTAAAAGGAGGGTATGACGGGTAATAATACAATTTAATAATTTCTATTATTCCACGTTTATAAAAAAATCTATACTTTATATCAGGTAGATCAAACTAATATTTATTAATACATGCATTGATAAATATTACTTTGGTACAGGTACTTTGGTGTACCTGATAGAATTGCTATAGTTTTTCATTTTATTTATTAAACTATTTGTTTCAACTTACTCATATTAAGCGATAAATTTAACTATAGATGATATAACTATAAATAATTTAAATAAAACTATATGTTTTAAATTTTTTTTGAAATAAGCAATTTTGTACCGTATATGCGTTCGAAACTTGTTTCAAAGTACAACTTGTATTTATTTTACGATTTTTTTGGTCTAATATCAAAATAAGTTTTAAAAATTTACCATAGTAAGACCATCTCATAATAGTTTTTCTCATCCACAAATTGTCCACTGATCTTTCTGTTTTTGACTATCTATGTACTGAAATAATCTATTTATAAAATCTGATATTTGTAACAGCTTTAGCAATTGACTCAAATTAGTCCCAAACCTTAGCACCCCCCCCTCCTTGATCCGGCACTGTCTCAACCTGGTTTATGTTACCTTATTGAACTGATATGCTTTGTAGAAATAGACTCACTAGAAGTTTCATGCTTTTTCCTTTTAGACAGTTCATCGCATTCTAAAAGATTGTTGTTTTGTGTTTCGGTTGTATTGTTCTTTATTATTCTATACCAAAGTAGACGATTGTGAATACGGACTGTTGTTGAATTTATGCCCATGTGACCAGATGCATTCGTCTAAATTGTATTATTGTACTGTAAAGCACAAAAATGTTGTGTTGCTTTTTTTTTTTAAAGATAAAAATTCATCTATATTCGTTTATAATTTCATAATAACACTTTTTTTTAATAACAATACTATTCTTCGAATTGACTTTTTTGTCATTGTCATGTTTTTTTGATTATAATCTATTACAATTTAACATCAGGTTTTACTAATTAATTATTGACCGCGGTTTACCATGTTATTAAATAATAGAATAAAATATTAAAAAAAAATTGACTTAAAAACTGCGCTAAACAATAAGAAGCCAAATTAAACTAGTATTACCCCAGTGGGTACGCGTCGTCCAGGGGACGTTCGTCAGACGTCCAGATGTCTAACGGTCGTTTAGACATCCAAATTATGAAGACGTCCGATAGATGTCCTCCGAAGAACGCATACCCACTTGCATACAGGGACAATGTAAGTAATATTAAACAGCTATAAATAAGTAACCTGTTTACAATATAGACTTACTTAGATGACGTAACCATAGTTACAAAATACATTCTGTTACCATGACTATGATGTAGTTTATTACTTTTAATTATTTATGATTTTGATTTTCTTCAAAGATTTGAATTATAAATTATAAAAGATTTTACTAATATTTTACTAATTATAATTATATAAAATATAAAAAAAAAAAAATATATATATATAAATATAAACAAAAATAACACCAGTTTATTAGTCAACCAAATTAAAAAAAAAAATGTATAAAAGTATTAAAAACGCAGGTATTGAAAATAAATAGAAAACTACCAAAAATAAATATAAAGGTGTTGAAAATAAAACTTTATATACTTTAACCACTTTTATGAAATAGAAAATATTTTTTGTTTCTCAAAATTGTCCATGAAATTAAAAAATGTTTTTTTTATACTACATTATTTCATTTCTTAGTTTAGCTGCTGCGATGGTTACTTTAGCTTGGGCAAGTATCAATTTAGTTGGTTTAGACTCCTTAAGAGGTTTTGATGACGGAACAATGATTCTTTTATCAAGTTATCTTTTGTTTACATTTTATCATTGTGTTTCAATGATTGTGCTGCTTAACATGTTGATTGCAATGATGAGCAAATCATATCAGCAAATCGAGGTATTTAAATTGTTTTTGACACATAATCATTTTTTTATTTTTCTCTTTGTTCTTTATTACAATTTAAAAACATCTTTGATAAAGATTAAATAATCTTATCACCAAAGACCGCTAATAAAAAAAAGGTTGCTATAGAAACTGCTAAAAAAAAGGTCGCTATGAAAACCGCTAAAAAAAAAAAGGCTGCTATAAAAAGGCGTTTACAAGACTTTTTTACGTAATTAAAAAATGACTAGTAAAACAAAAAAAAGCACAGCAAAATTGAACAAAAATTTTTCAAAAATTGGTTTGATAGTTAGCTGGTTGACGAATAAATCTTCATTTTTACAGTATACATCTTAGATATATACATTATACATTATTCATCTTAGATGCATTAGATGCTTATGCAGAAGTTAAAGAGATAAGCTATTCTTTTATTTAGACTTTTATTTAGAAACAAATAATATTAGAAATATTACTTGTTTCTAAATATTGCGAAACATTTACAAAAACTGGCATAAGTGCGAACTGGCATAAGTGTGAATTGGCATAAGTGCGCCGAATAATATTGCAAACTTTAAGATAAATGCAAATTAGCATTTTGCACTTATGTTAACTGGATTAAAGTGTGCTTTTTTAGAACGTTTATTGAATGGTATAATATTTCTACGCTTATTCTTTTTTACTGCTCAAATTTCTGATGCAATTTCATCAATAAATAGCAAGAGAGTTGGTAACCAGAAGCGGAATTATAAGGGGATATGGGGTAGTAGCCTTCCTCTTAACTATTTTATATATATTTTTAAGGCGATTAAAAATCTCAATAACCTTTATATGCGAGAGAATGCGTAAAATCATCTGAATGGTCGTTCAAATTTTTTTTATTACTCAAAAACTTTTTCTACAGTTACTAATTATAGAGGGTTCTTTTTCAGATATTCAAAACAACTAAAAATTCAATAAAAAATAGGCTCAACTATTTCTTATAGAAAATAATAAGCTATATATTATATAGCTTATTAATTTCTTGCAATATTAACAAAATATAAATGTAAACCACCTTTTTTTTTCTGTTGTTTAAAATAATGTGTAAAAAATCTGTATTACAATAACCAGAGAGGTATATTATAAGCTAATACTTTTTGGAACACAAGTGAACATATTTATAAGTATATACAACAAATGATTAACATGTTCACTATGAGGTAAAATTAGTTTTGGCTCCTACTTCTTGCAACTTTGAGCACTTTCAAGCTCTTAAGCTAAAAACATTTTGTTGAACCCCCCCCCCTCTAACTTTGAGGGGGTTTTAATATATGATATCAATGTAATTTAAAAACCGCAAAAGGTTTGTTGATAAATACTGTTTATTTTGATGAAATAAAAATAATAAAAATATGTTATTCTTTATATGAAAACTCACTACCTATAATACCTCTACCGCACACTCCCTCGTATGGAAATAACTAACATTATGGTTGTTACTGAAATTAGGGTTTCGTTTTTTAAATCATTACTTATTTTCATTCGTGTTAAACTGTTTACTTTGTTTTAGCTGCACAATGAAATATTTTGAGATATACAAATATATTAAGAATAATCAGTTCTCAATGCATGAAGAGTCTTCCGTTAGATTAAGCAAGGCAATATTACAAATTTTATGGTTCAAAAGATTTATGAAAAAAAATTATCAGAAAGCAGTTCTCCTAATTTATCAAAATGTAAATTCTTTATTTTTGACTTATGTTGTTTCTTTAGAACTATTTACAAGCATAGATAAAAAAAAAGTTATTTATGGAGAAACTTAAAGCCACCATTTAGATTTTAAGACCACCATTAGAACATTTTCAGCCATTTATTGTAGAACTCTGAGTTTTCAGTTTTAAAAAAAACAACTAAATCTCTGTTGATTGATAAAAAAGTAAACTTAAAAATGAAACGGCAAAGTTGAATCTATCCATCGTTATTTTCGAAGGGCAAAAAATATCTATTACAAACCATATCGAAATCATTATAATTTATGAAAAGGTGCACACTGTTACATCCAACGCAACTGACTCAAGTCAGTCATGTTTTAGCGTATGTCCATCAGAAATAAATAAAACTGAAATTGTTATTAAAAAAAACAACCCATTCATATTTTCCAGTATGGCCTCTCAAGCTTACATGCTTGGATAAGGTGCTCTGAATGCTTATCGCATATTGCTTATAAAATAAAAATTTAATCTTGGCAAGCAAGATCTTTTGAAGCCAAGAATTCAGTAATGGAGCAAAAGAGTTTAATTCAGAAAAGCTTCTTGGATTGATAGTAGATCAACCAAGACCTGATGGTATTGAGAACGCTAAAGACGGTAAAACAGCCAGGATATCTTTTTTAAATTAAGACGCATTTATTGAAATTACAGGAAATGATAAAGTGTTAATTGAAAGATTGAATGTTAGACCAATAAACCATAATGTATTTCCAGTGGTTTTGAATCAGATATTTCGAGATTATAGTTTTGAAACTGCCAGATATCTTGTTAAATGTTACTCCTGGTACTTTATACCTCAATGTTTGCATAAAATAATAAAGCATGGATACCTTAGAGTGGTAAAAAATGATATGTCCTATTGGTCTTAAATCAGAGAAAACTCAGGACAATAATAACAATTTTAAGAGTTATCACCAAGACTATGCAAGGAAAATATAATGTAATGCAAGAAAAATATAATGTAAAGCAAGGAAAATAAATAAAAAGATGTAATAAAGCAACTGTTGTGCACTTCTGTCCAGCTTAAAAAAAACTACAATAAAAAAGAAAAAAAAATCCTTTTTCTTTTCTTTTTTATTGAGTTTTAATTTTGTTTTTTTATATTGTATAAGTTTTCTTTTATGTTGTTATGTATTTTTTTATGTTGTCATGATATATAAATAAGTTAAGAGTTCAGTTTGTTTTGTTTTATTCCAAATCAAATTTTATTTTTGCATAAGTTTTAGTTAAATATATTGATATGGTTACTTAACTTTACCATGCAAAATTAAATTTTGCTATACAAAACTAAGTAACCATAGTAGTAAATTATAGGTGATATACCACTTAATTTCGCTTTTATTTATATGTTTGATACTGCTGTGCCTAATTACTACAAAAGCTTTAGTAGAAGGGTATTAGTGTATATTATATAATACATATAAAAAAAAGTTTTTTTTTTTATTATTATTATTATAATAATTATAAATTTGCCGTTTAAAATAATTACAAATCTCGTATTTGTAAAACATACACATGGCGGGGCCAAGAAGAAGACAAAATAGTCTTAATACCAAGCCCCCAATAATTCGTAAATAATAAAAGCCATCAAGAAATTTTTTTTTTTTTTTTAATAAAGATAATAAATTCTAAAATTTATTTTCAATAATAAATGAACACAAAGCAAAAATAAAAAACAATCAAACAAAAAAAATTTCTAAAACTATATATTTTTTTTATTTATTGAGATTAAGGATTCCGAATTAGGAAATATAATGAAAAGAATTTAAAATTTTAAGAAAATTATTTTAGCTTTATATAATAAAAAAATAAAAAATAAAAAAAAGAAGTTTTTAAATAACCATTTTTTTTTAAACTTTTGCAAATAAAATGAAAATATACTATACAATATTTTAAAAACCAACAATTAAATATAGCTCTAGAAGAAGTCCTTCATGTTTTGATTAATTAAAATTACTTTTAGTTTTGATTTAAAAATATTTATGTTTGCGAGGGTTTTGATGTCATTTTTGATTACTATACTCCGTAGTTTGGGGCCTCTGTTGTGATAGAAAACTTAGTGGCTTTTCCAATAAGTTTTTTCAGTGGAATTTTTCCACAGTGTGTTGGTCAAAGGCATTTATCGAGCAAAGCTAGTTCCATCTTCTGCAGTAAAAACTTGTTTATTGTTGTAATTAAGCTTACAAGATTCATTTCGATTGAGCTTCTTTTTATGACAATATTTTTTTAAAGTTGTGCTAATTTATGCAAAACTTGCGAGCAATAACATTCACTGGTCTGCCCTCTAAAACTTTTTTAACAGCTTTCATTGTATCACATGATGAAGCAACTCTGTTTTTTTTCTATACCTAACCATTGAAAGATCTGAAATTTTTTTTTTTATATAATAGTATTATGTAAACTAATTGTAAAGCTTATATGAAACTAAAAACTAATATTATTAATATTAGTTTTTAACACTATTGCATTTAAAAAATTAAATGATAAAAAATATATAAAAAGTTTTTATTCGTCATAAGTACATGCCATTTGTTAAAATGTATAAAATTTAAACCAAATATATATGTCTTATAATATAAGTTATATGGGGCACTTTGATCCTCATAGAGCCCCGCATAGTCAACGATCAATGTACCCAATAGGTACAGCTGATATGCCAATAACTTCTGTTAAATATTGTAACCAACCCAAAAAAACAAGTTTATTATACACTTAACACATATAAAGTTCCAATAAAAGTCATACAGAAATCTAATTAAAAATTTATTTAAAATTGTTTACTACTTTTAAAAAATCACTCTTCATGATGAAAAACTGTAATTTCTAATTTCTTAACGCAGAAGTTGATCAAAAATATTACAATTAAAAAATAATAGGTAGTATAATGGTTAATTAAATTGCAATCTCTGTTAAAATAAGGCAAAAATAAACGATCATACTGCCTCGACGATCAATACGCCCCCATCTCCCCTACCAAATAAAACAATTCAAGTTTAAAACACAACTAGAACATAAAACCTATACCAAAATTTGAGACTGGCTTTAAACTTTAATAAAAACTTAAATAAACATGATTAAAAAGATCTTTGGTATGTACATAGAATAAAATTTGCAGAATAAGAAAATGAAAAAAAAAATTTATCACAAGACTCCATATCTTCGACTTTGGTCAATTCTGGTATAGATACCTTGCACCAATTTTTGTGCAGCATTTAGGTCAAGTCTACTGGCACAGTAATGAATCCGATGCTCAAGGTTTGATATATCATTTGTAGACAATCCATCCTTGTACACATCCCGCTTAAACATTGTTCGAAAATCCTCTATAGCACGAGCTTATGGCAAGTTTGTTGAATTGTCCTTATTTTAAACATTGGTATCTTCTGGGTTTTCAGCTATTTTGCTACCGAATTAGCATAGTAAATGTTGCCAAATTGAGCCAAACGATGTACTTGTTGCCTCAACAATATTTATTAATAAAAGGTCGCAAGCGCTTCTATAAACACTCTTTTAAATAGATCTCTTGGTTTATCGTCTGACCAGAAGGAACAAAGTAAAATAATTTGACCCTCGTGGGAAGATTACCATCTATACAAGATATTTTTTTTTTGATTTTGCAACGTTATAAAACTTAACAATGTCTGGCGTCAAGTTTTGATCATTTGAATAGTATTATTACCAGTCAGTCATTCTGAACAGTATGCATTATTACCAGTCAGTCATTCTGAACAGTATGCATTATTACCAGTCAGTCATTCTGAACAGTATGCATTATTACCAGTCAGTCATTCTGAACAGTATGCATTATTACAAGTCAGTCATTCTGAACAGTATGCATTATTACCAGTCAGCTATTTGACAAAGTAAGTTAAGAATCATCGTCAATTCTTTTATATCTATAAAATGTAGCTTTTGATTAGCCTTCCATCTTGAAATGGTTTAAAACAACATGCTTTCAATCTTTATGCTTTTTTCGATAAAAATTGTACACACGACTTTTTAGGGCTTGTTGATTTGGCGTAATAAATTGTTATTTAAACAAAAAATAATCAGACAACTTATATAATAATTGGTAGAGGTAAGAGCTTTAATTTGATACCAAATACTTATTATTTTATCAAACTTACAGAGTGTTATTTACGTAACGTTTAGTTAATCTTTCGTAGAAATCCAATTATTAATTTCATAGAAATCCTCGGTACATACTATCTTAGTAATCCTTCAGTTAATAATTTAGCTTTGAGGTTTATAAGCTCATACATAACTTATTGCAAAAATAAAGTTTTTTTATAAAGAAAATTGAACAGTTTAATACGCAACACTATTTGTATTTTTTTAAAAGCTGGCTCTCACTCGAATCTAATGTCGGTTCTTTGTACCATGCACTAATTTTAATTTAGGTATTTTTAATTTTTACAGGACAATATTGAAGTTGAGCATAAGTATGCAAGAACCAACTTATGGTTAGAATATATTGGTAAAAACAATAATCTTCCAGCTCCGTTTAATTTAATACCGACCATTGCATCCATCAAAACAGTTACATGCTGGATCCAGCTTATGATACTTGAAGTAAAAAGAAATAAGGGATTGGTAAACAATAATTGTTTAATTTATTAAGACAGTTAAAAAGAATTATTTAGTAATAAGTATTTCTTTCCTTTCTTAAAATTAGCAAAGGACAAAACAAGACAAGACTTTAATGAAAGAGTTTAATGTAAGTTTAAAATAATTTTTTAAAGTTGTGAACAAAGTTTTATTTAACTATATCTGTACTAAATTATATTTAAAAACATTAGAGATTAAAGTTGAAAAAATATCGTTTAGATTTAGATCTAAGTTGTTTAGGCATAATTTGCTATTTGATATAAATGGCTTTGTGTGATTTGTTTTATGTTATTATTTTCTTAAAATAACTTCTAATTCTTTTATTCTATTTAAAAAAAAAAATAATTATTTTGACACTTCTTTCTTTAGGAGCTGTGCAAAAACTTATTAGTAAGGTATTTGAGAAAAAAAAATCTACTCGAACAACCTGATGTTGTCGATATTGAAAAAGAAAATGATTTTTTACTATATGTTATAAATAAAATAGAACTTTGGTCGAAATTAGAAATATAGCTAATATATGATTTTTGTTGCTTTAAAAACGAGTATACCTAGAGCGGCTCATATCCCTAGAGCGGCTCAAGGACGTATATATAAGGAACTTGACAGCAAATATATTTAAAACTAAGTTACTTGTCATTTTAAAATTTTATTATTCATAAAACAAAGAAAATATTACAATATGTGCAACAGACATAAAATAGAATGTGAAATCAATAGACGTAGCCTGTTCCCTCACTCCTGGAGATACACCTGGAGATACCAATAAAGTATAAAAACCTTTATTTTGTTTGAAATAAAATTTTGTTAATTTTTTATGTAATATATGTATTTTATTAATTATTGTAAAATATTATCATAATTTGTTAAATCATTGTGTCTTGATTTCTTCATGGTTGTATCTTAATAGAGTTCAGATCCAGTCTGTTTTTATTGTAATAACTCCTTAAAATAAAATTGTATACAATAATCCAAGATTTTTTGACACATATTGTCCCTCATCTAAATTGATACCATTTTGTTGAGGAACACATTGGTGGTACTGTATTTCAAATGCCTCACGAACTTTCCAATAAAACTTTTTAGCATCAACTTTTAGAGTTCTGCAACTGTGCTCATTAATTTGTTGTGCACAATGTCTCATGTGTGTACATCTTTTTATGGCGCACTTACGTAAGAAAAAGATGACATAAAATAGAACTGTCGTTTTAAAAATAAGATATAAACAAAAACAAATAAAAACTTTTAAGCTGAAAACAATCAAGATGACAACTGGTGTAGCTTGGAGATCAAGGATTAAGATAGGATTTACTCCCAAGTGCTTTTTTTATTAACAGTAATAAAATATAATTGATTCAAGACTGTTTGTATGCTCTTTTTGTTAATCGTGAACTCTATTAAAGACTAAAGTATTGGCACACCATTGTACCATTGGCACACCATTTGGATCCAGTGTATTTTGACAAATAATGGATCAGAAGCTGAATATTTATCATCTTACTCAGACATATCCAGTAAAGAAGGTAAGAGTTTTGCTTATTTCGTTTGTTTATCAAAATTTATTGTAATGATATAATATTATTCTATATTTCCTAACCCTAGTTTAGGTTTTATTTCATAGAAAACCCATTGTTAATTGCAACAGAGTTGTTAGAGTTACAATTACATTGAATAAATCATAAAAACTTACTTCATAAGTCATTAAAAACTGCACATATACATTTTCTTTATTCGTTTTTAAAAATTAAATTTTGATTTCAAACGTTGATGATTCCGATTCCGTATATGAAAACAATGGTGAAGCTGCTGACGTGGAAAAGAGACCTAATCCACCTAGTAATGGTGAAGAAGAGGCAATTACAGTTGGTAGACCAAAAAAAATCAGGAAAAGATAAAGAAAAGAGTGGAAACGTGAAGAAAGGAAGAGAAACACAATTCTGGGAAACCTTATATCAATAGGATGGGAAAGATGATTGCAGAGAAAAAATTTTGATTGCAAATGCAAAAAACAATACTTTAATAAAATTACAGAGCAAGCACGTATTTTTAAAAAATAAGGAAGCTCTCTGATTAAAATGCATTCATTTTTATGGTTAATTGATACAATTGACCATAAAATCTTTTTCAAAAAACTAAAATATTATGGAATCACAGAAAATTTTCTTAAGCTGATAAAAAGTTATTTAAGCAATAGAAAACAATTTGTTCATTTTGACCAATCATCTCGATCTAAATTTTCAGAAATTACATGCGGCGTTCCTCAAGGATCTGTACTTGGATCTTTACTTTTTCTCATTTACATAAACGACCTTTACGAAGCCTCCAATTTGATGACAGTTATTTTTGCTGACGATTCAAATTTTTTTTTCTCTCAAAGCAACATAACGACACTATTTTCTTGTATGGATATTGAACTAAATAAAGTTTCCCAATGGTTTATATCAAACAAACTTCTCTGAATATTGAAAAAACAAAATGGTCTCTTTTCCATTCTAATTCTAAAAAATATCTAATTCCAATAGAGCTTCCCGGTCTTTTTATTGATGGCGTTTTAATTAAGAGAGCAACATGTACAAACTTTTTAGAGGTATCAATTGATGATTTCTCTGGAATCTCATATGGAAAAACTATATGGAAAACATATGCTGCAAAATTTTGAAAAGTATAGGTATATTGTATAAAGCAAGAAGCATGCTAAATAAACATATTTTAATTCAACTACACCACTCATTCATTCATTGCCACGTAAACTATGCGAATGTGGCTTGGGGTAGTGTTAATAAAAGTAAATTAGAACCTCTTCATCGCGAACAGAAACATGCTGCAAGTCTTATTAATTTTAAAGACCTTTTTACACATACTAAGCTTCTCTTTATTGAAATGAATATTTTAAATATATTTCAACTAAATGTATTTAATGTACTGTGTTTTATGCTTAAGTGTAAAAATCGTACAGCTCCGGTTTCTTTTCACAATTTATATTCCTCAAAAGAAAAAAATAAGTATAATTTACGAAATAATAATTTCATTCTACAACCTGTTTTTAAAACAAATTTAGGCAAGTCTTGTATTTCTTTTCGAGGGGCGTTTCTGGTACCAATTACTGGTACTATAATTTAAAAAGGTTCCACAAATAAGTTTTATGTAAAGGTTGATGGCGAAAGCAAACAAGTTTGTAAAAAATACTTCCCACAAACCCTACAAATCTCTGATAGCGCGAGCCTAACAGACGGTGAAAAATGGGGAACTTTTAGGGGACAATAAACGGTGTAAGAAAGTTCCTGGGAATAAATCCCTAATGAAAAAATGGCAGAAGTAAGAAATTATTACATATTTTCCCTCGTACAAATCCCACTACATGAGAACCCACAATCCAACATTTTTTTGTTCTAAATAACACCTTAAACCCATTTACAGCACAAATTGCGTGATAACTTTTAAGTGTTAAAAAAAACAAAAAAAAAAATTGTAGCAAATGAGTTTGTATTATTACAAAGAAATCTCTATCTCTCAGGTTACAAAAAGCTTATAGACAAGTTAGTGGTGCAATTAATTATAGAAAACACAAACTTGAAACTTTTTACACCAACAAGGTTTTAGCAATTCAGCGAAAAAAACATACTATTTAATTGTTGTTACCTTGTCTTTAGATTTAACTCCTTCCTTTAGATGTAGTTGAAAGTTTTAATAATTTTTTAAAATGCTTATACTATTAAAAAAAGTTTTTTGAAAATCAAAATTAAACGACAATAATTATCTTTTTCTTTCAAGGTAAATGAAAACTAAAATCTGTTTGAAAATGACTCGTGTCCCGGAATTTGTGTCTTTTTAAGTGAAACGAAACACGAGTGTCTTTTCTGTATGTATGGAGCTTTTATCTGAAGCTGATAGCCTAGAAATGAAGAACCTTAGAAAGGAAAATTTACTTTTTTTTATTTTTCATTAACATTAAGAAAAAAAAACTTGACGTTAACGTATTTTCTTAAAAACAAATGAGCAGTAAATCAAAAGGATCTAAATAAGAGGTAAATCAGAAGGATCATGGTGCAATGGTGCAATGGTGATACACTAGCTAAAGTACGGGAACATAATGAGTCATTTACTATTAAACATGAGCACTACTATAATAAAGATGTATTACCTTATTATTTCGATGAAAAGCTAATGTGAAAGTTATACACACATTATAAGAACAAAAATTGTCTTATAATGTGTGTATAAATCTTATTATTGTTGTAATGTGTGTTATCCTGTTGAAAGTAAGTTTCAATTAACATATTTCGAGGAAAAATTTAATTTGACGTTCTGTAGAAAGCAAACTAATGTCTTTGTAAATCTTATTATTGTTATAATGCGTGTAATCTAATGATTATATATGGAGATATATTATATATGGAGATTCGAGATGAATAATTTATTTAAAAATAGACATTTTAAAATAAAATTTTTAAAAAACTACAGGAAGTGGGAACTAAGTATAAGCATAATCAAAATGGAGTTAATTTTATGCAAATTCTGCCATATTTTAAACAAAAATCAGTTAACTAATTCCCCGAGTTGAATTTAGGCAAAATGGTTGTGACTTATTTTAAAGTAGCAATATACCAAGTTTTATATTACAATCTTACCTTATGCACTTTTTATGGAAAGACATACCTATTGTATAAATAATAAAATTTTAAATGTTACAATCAAGTCATTTAAAAAAATGACCGATTTCATAGCAAGATAAAACGAAAGTCAGAAAACAAAAGCCTTCCTTATTGTGTAAAAAAAGGTATTTTAATGAATAATTAATATGAATAAAAAACCTCAAAGTCAAACAGTCATATTATAACTATTTTTTCAGCTCCATAAAGAATTCGTATTGATTGACATATAGTATAATATTAAAAATGATTATAAATTACATCGTATAAAAAAAAAATTTAAACTTAAGAAAAAACAAACAACACAGAGATAATTTGTTACGATGGTAACAACGATGATTTGTTATACCTACTTTAAAAAGCTATTTTTACATAATCGGTAGAATTTCCTGTTTTATGAAACAATTTTAAACTTTAAATAGTTCGTTTACGAGGGTTTGCATCATGACCTGATTTACGTAGTTTATAAATTTATTTCTAAAAGATAAATAGAACCCCTTAACTAAATAAAAAAAAATGTTCGAATTCCTCAAAGAAAAATTCAAATGAAGTTAAAGTAGGGGAGAGTTGCCTTAAATGGAACAATTTAGGGATATATATTTATTAACCAAAGATGGCTTCACTATGAAAACATTTATGATTTGATTAATACAAACATACATCCCTACTATACTTTTAACCACAATTTGACTTAATTGATTGCACCGCTATTGGAAATAAATTTGTTTTTGCAATGTTACCATTTTATTCCAATCAAGGCAACTGGTTCCCTAAATTGGAACACTTTGATTCCTTAATCAAAACAGGTTATTTTTTTAAAAAAAACAACATGAAAATCAAAAAAAAATTTATAAAAAATGATTTTCATCTTTACAGTGAAAATTCAAACAGTTAATTAAAAACTTATTATAGGATTAGTATTACCCTGACAAATTTAAAGTCAACAAACAAAAAATTGTATGAAGCTTTAACTGTTATGACTTTCTTTTAATTTATTTATTAAAAATCACTAAATAAAGTATTATTTTTAAGGTTTATGTTTGCTACTAAGTTATATTTTAATTGCACTAGAACTATTTTACAACCCTTTGATTTTATAACTGATTAGGTAAAGAAAACTTCAATGTTCCAATCAAGGAAACTTTCGACTATTTTGTTATATCACTAGAATAACATGCTTGTAGCAACTTATAAGACAAGTTTATATTGTTATTTTGCATTT